GGATCTGCCGGGACTGAGTCGGTGCCTCAGAGGACCTGAGCTCTGTCTCACAGAGACGGCTTGACACCACCGGACTCAGCGTTCCAGCTGCATGACAGCGTTTATTTCAGGCGGATCGCTGCAGTGAGCTAACGGGGAAGAGATGGGGAATACGTGTCTTACCCCCAACCCTCCACCGTGACTGTAAATAGTATCATTTGTCTATAAAATTATGAGTTCACCTCTGTATAACACTGTGTTTTTATTAACAGTAAAGAAAAAACGATATAGATCAACTAACAACAAATAATAACTTTATTAACTTTGTTTTTTTAGTCTGTAACAGAAACAAAAAGTGCATCAGTTTGCCTGAAATAAAATAAAAATTCTTATTTAAACTGTAAACATTTTTGACCATTTGATACAGAAAAATCAAATTAAATATAATCAATTAATAATAAATTCAAATTGATCAGCAACATTTTAACTCAGGAGTGTTTTATAAAACTCTTTGACCTAAAACAACAATAATGAATAAAACAATTTGTGCTGATTTTTTAAAACTCAAAATGAGGTCGTTAGGATCAATGAGCAAACTTATTGATAAAGCTAAAACCTTTTGTCAACGCGAACGAGGGACGAGGGACGAGGGGGCAGGTGTCGCTCTCGCTTTGAGTTTACTCTTTGCTGCTGCGCGCTGAGTGACGTCCAGAGCGCACGGACATAAAACACGGACAGGTTCCTGTTCTTAGTTTCTACATTCGCCTTAGAGTCTAGCTGTTTTTTTGTTGTTACCTTTTTCTTTTAGCCATCCTTTTTGTAAAAAAACAAAACAAAACAAAACAAAAACTGCAGTATGACTTTTTATAACTGTTTATTATTGTTGCTGTTGTCCATTGTTGTCATCTTTCTTTGTTGAAATCAGGTCTCTCTTGTAAATGAGTCCTCGAGGCTCAATGGGATTTACCTGAATAAATAAAGGTTGAGAAGAAACCCATGCAGCGGAGGAGTCGGGAGTTATTTATTTATCGTCTCAGCAGCAGAGAGGAACGACACAGATCCTGCTTGGCTCCCAGAACCACAAGGCGGCCATATTTGTTCATAACTTTATTATTAGAAAGACTGAGGGATATGAGCAAACAGCTGCTGGAACGCACGTGACAAAATGAGAATGGTAAAAAAAAAGACTACTACCTGCGGAAGAAAAAGCATGTTCCCCAGGGTCACATGTGCCCCCCCAGGCATTGCCCCAGGGTGCCCCACTATTTGAGAAGGACTGATGTAAACAAAGGTTGGTCCACAAACTGTTCTGATGAAGAGTTCCTGCTCGGAGGTTTTAGAACAACTTACTGTGAAATGCCGACCACATTATTTCTCTCGTGAGTTTTCGGCGGTGTATATCATGGTTGCCTATAGAGCTCCGGATGCTAATGCTAAAGATGCACCGAGGGAGCTAAATGACAACAGCTCGCTTCAAAACGAGCATCTGGAGGCTTTTTATGTTGTGCCTGGTGATTTTAACCACGTAAACATGAAAGACACTCAGCCAAGATTTTATCATCATGTGACCATACCAACATGGGGAAATAACACACTCAACCGTGTTTACACCAACATACAAGAGGCATACAAAGCTGTACCCCCCCCCCCCCACCCCCAACCTCCACCTGCTGAGACGTTCCAGACCAACCCAGAAAAATGTCACGGTGTGGCCCAGCGACAGCGACTCTGTACTGCAGTAATGTTTTGCACTCACAGACTGACAGATCTTCAGGGAGTTTGCCGTAAATGAGGGAGAGCTGCTTCTGGAGGAAAACACATCTGCTGTCCTCGGATACATCAGCAAGTGTGTTGATGATGCCACCACCACCAAGACTAAGTGCTACACGAACCAGAAACCAGAGGTCTGTACCCTGCTGAAAGCCAGGCACACTTCCTTCAGGTGTGGTGACAAACAAGAACTGGGGAGGACCAGAAAAGAGCTGGCTGCTGGTATTAAGAGGGCCAAAGCAACATATGCACAGAAGAGCCACTGACATTTTTCCTCAAAGGACCCACGGAGCATACAGAGGAACATTAAGTGCATAACAGACTATAACAGCAGTGGTGCACAATGCCATAGGGACCCATCACTGCCTGATGCTCTTAACAGGTTCTATGCACACTTTGAAGACCCGAACAGACCATCCAGAATGTACCAATCAGCTCTGTGAGGTGCTGGCCGACATCTTTAACTTCTCCCTCACCCTGGCAACTGTTCCCACCTGCCTGAAGACCACCACCATCATCCCAGTTCCTAAGAGCTCTACAGTGACTGGTCTGAATGATTACCAGCCAGTGGCCCTCACCCTGATAGTCGCTAAATGCTTCAAAAAACTGATCATGACTCACATCAAAACAACCATCAACATCAACGAGGACCCTCACCAGTATGCATATCGTGAGAACCGATCAACAGAGGATGCCATCTCCTCTGTGGTCCACACTGCGCTCAACCACCTGGAGCAGAAGGACTCGTACGTCCGTATGTTCTTTGTGGCCTTCACATCCGCCTTCAACACCATGATCCCCCAAACCCTGATGGACAAACTACTCACACTAGGACTAAGTCCCTCCATTTTCAACTGGGTCCTAGACTTCTTAACAAACAGACCACAGTTAGTGAGGATCCACAACTTCTCCTCCTCCCCCATAACCCTCAGCACTGGCTCTCCTCAGGGATGTGTGTTGAGCCCCCTTCTGTTCACTCTGCTCACATGACTATGCATTGACCCATCAAGGCTGTCACATTGTAATGTTTGCAGATGATACAGTGGTGATGGGATGCATCACAAATGAGTCCAGCTACAGGCAGGAGGTGGAACACCTGGAGAGCTGGTGCAGGAAGAACAACCTTCACGTCAATGTGAAGAAGATGAAGGAGATGATTGTGGACTTCAGAACAAACACACGTACACCCTCTGAACATAAGAGGATCTGCGGTGGAAGTGGTCTCCAGCTACAAGTACTTGGGTGTGCACCTGAACAACAACCTCAGCTGGAGCAACACCACCACCAGCCTGATGAAGAAAGTTCATCAGAGACTCTACTTCCTCAGACGGCTGAGACGAGCTGGTCTGGAAGCTCAGTCCTCACCTCCTTCTACAG